TTGGTTGCAAGTCGAAGTAAATTTTCCCATAAGGTTCAATGTAATTACCGTTAATCCGTTCCGGCGTCCACAGACCACGTGGCAGGGGCGGAAGAACGGCCGCTGACCATGCAGCAGGGCGGAAAAAATGGCCGCGGACCATGTGGCACGGGCGGAAAATGGCTCGTAAGTCGAGGTGAGTTTGTAAGTAGAGGTAAATTTTTGGGGCCGGAGCTGATCATATCTTGAAAATTTCATAAGTAGGGGCGTTCGTAAGTAGAGGTACCACTGTACTCTCTGCTCTTGCAAAATGCTTCCTTTTCCTGAAAAACGCCTTTTCCCTGCACTTGGAGAGCTCTAGGTCTAGAGGAAACAACGCCAGAAAGGTCTTGCCAGCAAGAAGGAAATGTCCTATATCTTTCAGGGACTGGGATAAAAATGCCCCATTGATGGGGTCACAGCGATGGAGTGAAAGGGAACAGGATTTGCTATAAGTTTAGATTTTGGTGTGTTCCCCAATCCTCTCCACAACTCTGCTATTTCAACAGCTCTTTGGTGTATCTTGGTTGTCCTACCTGATTATCTGGCCATCCAGAGTCACTTGGATTGAGATGGGCAGTTACAGAAATTGCATGAATGAATGAATGAATGAATGAATGAATGAATGAATGAATGAATGAATGAATGAATGAATGAATGAATGAATGAATGAATGAATGAATGAATGAATGAATGAATGAATGAATGAATGAATGAATGAATGAATGAATGAATGAATGAATGAATGAATGAATGAATGAATGAATGAATGAATGAATGAATGAATGAATGAATGAATGAATGAATATTGCCAGCATAGCAGGATTTTCCTCTGAACCCCTGTTGCTCCTAATCAGCACATTGTGAAAGGAAGAGGAGAATGCAAATGTCATATCACTAATCAATATTGTTTCTCATTTTCTTGTTCAAGGATGGGGCATGGCAGGTTCTGCAACAGTAGCTACCCAAAACTGCATTGCCTGGAAATCCATGGGCAAAATCATTCAGCCCACGGTGGATTGGTCTATGATTCCCATCCACTACCTTTCCTCCCATACCTGACAAGAATCTTTTTGCCATATTTTTGAATACAGCTATGTTTAACCTTGTGGATCAGCAATTAAGCTGGAAAAATGGATATGAATTGGCCAGCAGGGCCATGTAAGATACTGAGATTGGTATCCTTCCCACAAGGATTGTTGACAGCATTTTTGCATCTCCAGTTCTTGCAGTTTCAGCAACTCCTGCCCAGTGGAGTACTTTTTCTTTTCTTAATCTAAAGCATTAAAACCTTCTCAAGAGCTGGCATAAAAAAACTCATTAAAGCCACAGCCAATTGCATCTGTTCCACAGGGGTTAAATGTTCTGTCTTGGCCAAACATTTCTGTGCTTTCTGCAGCCAGCTCAGTTTCTTCAGCCCTGTCCCATTCACTCCCCGTAGGGCTGTAACTTGCAGCTCCTGCTAACACGGCAACAGCCATTAGTTATCTCTCCAAAAGGGAGCCAATAAGAAAATGGTCCACAGTCCATCGTAGTCCATGTGTTCAACCTGCAAGGTTGCATAACAGATGTGCAACAGGGTTGCACAACAGATAAGGTAAGATGGTGGCCTCTGAATCAAAATAAAATTTCCAAGCACTTTTCTCTGTTCCCCAATAAAACCCAACTCTAATCACAAGGGAGGGGAGCCAAGAATAGATTTCAGATGTCAAGAGAGAAACTCCAAAGATATATGACATTTCCGCTCAGCACTGATCATGAATATTTGATATTCTGCCTCTCTTCCACAGTGTAACTCAGGGCAGAGCATGTGAGGTCTTGGAGTGCAGCAGAACAGAGGTTTGGATAATCAATTGCCCTATTCCAGCTTGGTGCAAGAATTCCAAGTGACCCCTTATTGGAAGGCAGATAGAGCTGCATTAAATTGCAGAAGGCAAAATGATGGACAGTTGAGTCCATCAGGACCATAGACAGCACCCTTGACAGGTGTTGGTGGGAAGTCACTCAGGAAAAGCTGCTGTCACAGCCATAAGCAAGGGCTTTCTTGGGCCTTCTGAAGGCTGGCTGGGAGATACTTTTCAACCTTGGTAAAAGTAAATTGCCACTTACTTCAAAGCAAGTGCATATAGTTTTGTTGGGTGATCCCAGAAAAAGGTGTAGTTGCTTTAATTGGTTCCAGAGAAAGGCTCCATTGATGCTCCCACAAGTTCTGAAACATGTTTTGGAGGCTCCATAGTAGATTCTCCATGCTACCACCCCAAGACCTAGTCCAGTGCCTGAGAAGTTCCCAGCCCTTACATTAGGGCTTCACTAAAGCATGGGTGGAAAAATCCTGGCTTAGCATTACATGTGAATACAGGTACTGAATTGTAGAGATGGAAGACAACTCATTAGCTATCTAGCCCTTTCCCCTGCTTGACACAAGGACTCCAGAATGAATGCATCCACAGCAGAAAATTTCTTCTGTTCAGCAACTAAATGTTTCTCCTGACTACCTTCCTAGAATTCCCTAGTCCATTAAATCTAGCCCTCCCTCTGTATGGCTGCAGAGAACAAGTTATAGCTTTTATTGGTATGACAACTGTTTAGATCTTTTAAGACCAAAGTCCTTCATTCTCCCCTGATGTCTTCTGATCATCCTGGTGGGATATCCTGGTGGGATATCCCTGCTGTAACCCTGGGTGGGTGGCACCCTTGAAATGTGCTGACACTGGAACTCTCAAAATTCCCAGCTATTCTCTAGAAGTTGTGGAAGTTGGAGTCCTATGCCTTTGAAGGATGCCAAAATGGGAAGGTTCTCCAACAATGCAAACGTTATCTATGTCTTGGGGTACTAGACAGCTTTGCTCCCAGACATATTGCTTAAAATTAACCAGACAAGTGTCTTCCCTCTTAGAATAAAGGCCTTGAATTGTTTAGTCAGTCTGTGTGGCTGGTGACACAGAACCTGGGACATCAGGGTCGGTCAGTCTTGCAAAGTAGTCCAGGCAGAAGCACACCCAGAAGTAGTATATCTAACTTTATTGTAAGATTACATTACAGGTAGTCCTTGATTAACAACCACTCATTCAGTGACCATTTGAAGTTACAATGGTGCTGAACGAGTGGTACTTATGACTGGTCCTCGAAGTTCTGGCCATCCCAACACCCCTGCAGATACATGATCACGATTCAGGAGCTTGGCAAACAGCTTGTACTTACAACGGTTGCAGTGTCCCATGGTCACATGATCGTGATTTGCGACCTTCCCTGCAAGCTTCCTACAAGCAAAGTCAGTAGAGAAGTTGTCAAGGAAGATCAAAAGTTGCTCCTGTAAGTCACTCCGACCTCTGTTGCTTTTTCTCCTGAGGAGCCCAGCTACAGAGTATGAGATCCTGGGGATCTCATACTTCATAGTGCGAGCCAGCCCACAGCACACCCCACACCCACACTCTATAGCACTTGCCTGCCTGCACTTCCCCGGCATCACATCAGCCACCGGCGCACCCTCCCACACCCAGCAGCAGCCACCCCCTACCCAGCCATGCTCACGATGCATCGCAGCAGCCATTTACCCACCTGCAGGTCTGCTTGCAAGCCACCCAGGACTTGTGACTTCCTGCCAGCTTCCCCATCAACTTTGCTTGGTGGAAGCTGGCAGGAAGTCATGAGCAGGTCCTCACTTAATGTCCCGCAATCCTCACTTAACAATGTCAGTGGGGACTGCTGGGATTGCCATCACTAAGAGATGTGGTCAGATGACATCACACTTTATGACCACATTGTTTAGCAATGGACATTCTAGTCCCAGTTACCACTGTTAAGTGAACACTCCCTGTAACAGAATCTTGCAAGTCTGAAAGTCCATCTCTCCCCCCTCACCTTTACAGTCCAAGAAACTAGGGAGGGTCCCTTCTGAGACATTTACCACACCCCCATTCCCTTTGTGGACTCAGCTGCTACTTGTCTGACCATTGCCCAGTCTGCGGCTCTTCCTCCTGTCTCTCAAGGTCATTCCCACAGACCATTACAGGGTCTGTGCATGCAGTTCAGTGTCAGTTCAGTCTGTGCAGGCAGTTATCTTATTCTTCTCACACATTATGCTTTCAGCCAGAGCTGCCTGATGCCAAACTGGCACTGCTGAGAAAGTGTCATTCCAATGAAAACATATTAGTGTTAGTGATGGCTGTTTGGGTGGGGCAGCTGAAATATGAGAATTAGCTTGGGCTTTCAGGAGTGCATTCCATAAGCTAGTCAATCTCAGCTTGCGAGATATGGACATGTTTGTATTTGTGGTGCTGGAATCGCAAGTTGGGTGCTACTTGTTACCAATGACTTGCTAGGGCCACAGTGCTCCCTGGTGGAAAGCTATTGTTACTGCTTGTTGCTGGCATGTCAAATCATTCCATATATTATGGGCAGTGTTAATGTCCTGTCACTTCAAGAAAGCCATATCCTGGATCCATATAGAATCCATGTTGCCAACAGTTTGATAAGATTTTTGAGAGCATTTAACTGAAGATCTGCTGGATCCAGATGGGCTTTTCACACAAACAATCCATGAAAGCAATAGATTACTCTCCAGTTGTGCCCAATCCTTCTTATCACTCATAGTTGCCCAGGAAGGATGAGACTAATCAGGGCTTTCCAGAATGAAACCATCAAATTATGAAGTTGGAAGGGAGTACAGTACAAGGATCAAGTCTAGCTCTTTGAAATGTGCAGGAAAACTGAGTAAGTCATCTTCAAGAGGTGGGTGTCCAGCCTCTTCTTAAAACTCTCCAGAGATGAAGAACCCACAGCCTCCACAGGTGAACTGTTCTACTGTTGTTACAGATCTTCCCATCAGGAAGTATTTTCTTATATTTAAGACAATATCAAGGTACCTGCAACTTATTCCCATTATGTCTGAT